TAGGTCAGCATCAAAGACTCCCAGAGCTGGCAGACACTTCACATCGTGGTCTTGTCCATCCACCCCCCTGCCTTTACAGACGCCAGACCTGGCCTAGTTGATACCCAGTCCTGTGTTTGAAGGACCCCAAGGAAGGATGGACACTGCCTGCATTCTGATCACCCATCTCCAAGTCTAAAAATTTTCGTCACCAGAAAACTCTGGCCTTATATCCCAGTTCACGTACATTCAGTGGAAATGAGGTGAATTTGGAACTTGAGGAGCTTGATGGGGTGACAGGTCCATATACATTTAATTTCGAATGAAATATTTTAAGGCTATGTTTGACATATGTACAGGTTGCTATTGGGAGCCTAAAGAAGAGGCCCTTAGTTCAATCTGGGGGTTCAGAGAAAGGCTTTCTGGAGAACATGATGTCTGAATCAAGGCTTAGAAGGTTGAGTTGGAGTCACACTGGCAGTGTTGGGAAGGACATGCAAGGAGAAGGAACAAAATCACAGAGGTGTCAAATACAGGGTAATGAATGGCTGGAGCTGAGAGGGAGATGCAGGTGTGATAAAGGCCTTGTAACGGAATTAAGTAGAGAGCCTTTGAAGAGGTTTAATCTGGAGTGAGATGACCAGATGTTTACCTTGGAATGAGCCCTCTGGCTGCTCTGAGGAGAAAGCTTTAAAGAGGGAAGATTAGTAGGAGGAAGAACAATTAGAGGCTATTGTAATAGCGCAGGTGAGAGAAGATAAGGGTTTAATTAGGACAGCCGCAGTTAGGATAGAAGGAAGGACTAGATTTGGGAATTATCGTATTAAATAATGAAATAATTATTATATTAAATTCTATAATATTAAAGAGTAAAAGTTGGTAGGCCTTGGTGATTGGACCTGGGGTGAAAGGAAGGCGGAATCCGGGACGACTGTAGGAGAAGGTGTGGGGCGCAAACAAGAAGGTGACAGTTCAGTTGGGGACATTTGGGGGTTTTTGAGATACGGGTGGGCATATAAACCTGAGGGGCACTACACATTTGGCAGCAACACGTGAGCGGTGTGAAGGTGGAACAGACGAGGTTGCCCAAGCAGAGGGTGTCCTGTGAGCAGTCGGCTGAGAATGGAATTCTGGGCCAACACCAATGTTAACCGAGTGGACAAAGGAAGAGGAGATCGAGGCAGATGGTGCAGAACAACAAACAAGCAAACAAGAACCAGTGTCCTGGAAGCCAGGGTGGAGGGTTTAAAGAAGAAGCGAGTGGCCTGTCGAGCCAAATGCAGCAGCCGTGTCCAGGCAGATAGAACTACCTATGGAATTGGGAGGCCTGGGCATTGTTGCTGGGGCACTTTTCAAGGAACATAGGCAGCAGAAGCCAGGTGACACTGAGTTGAAGAGTGAATATTGTAGGAAGGGAGAACTGAGTTGTTCAGGGAAGGAAGAACAGAGGGTATTAGCTGGAGGGTGAAAAGTCAAGGGAAGGTGCTTGGGGTGTAGCGGTTTTTTTCCTTCCTTCCTTCCTTCCTTCCTTCCTTCCTTCCTTCCTTCCTTCCTTCCTTCCTTCCTTCCTTTTCTCTCTTCCTCTCTCTTTCTTTCACTCGAAGAAGCTTGAACAACTTTATGTGCTGACTAGAGAGACCCAGTTAAGAAGAGAGAGGGGAAATTTGTGTAGCGTCATCCTAATGGAGACCCGGTGAACTGGAGCAAGAGCACAAGGCGGTTTGTTCAGCTTCCCTGAGACCCAAGAGGAAGAAAGAGAGGCTGAATGCAAGGGTGGATACGTTAGTGAGGGAGAGAGGCAGGATGCTGAAATTCTTCCCAATGGCCTCAGTTTTCCTCTTCACAGTGGTGCCTGGCTAAGGCAACTCTTACAACTTTGCTTGTCCCAGCTCAGGGCTGAACGTCCACAGTTGTTGTCTGGATCGAAAGGCTTAAACTCAGTCCCGCTTTGAGCATTTATCTAGTGTGCCCACTCCAAAGCACTAAGACCTCCTTTTCCTGTGACCAGTTTTCCAGCTCTGGGCAGCTAAGTTCTGAGTATGCTCATCCAATTCCTTTGAATTTCAAATAGCAAGACTGCCTCTTACCTTCTGTAGATAAAAAATAATCTGCAAGAAGCTGTTAAGGGGTAGAGAAACAACAGGCAGAGAAATCTGCAGAGTGCTTCGTGTGCCCTGAGGCTGGGCTTGGGCTGGTTGGTCTTTGGGAAACTACTTCCTAAAGTTCACTGAGCCAGCTCTGGCCTTTTAGGGTTCTGTGCTTGTGCCTGACCGATGAATGGGGTTCTGGGTGGTGGTGGGGGGCACCTTGGGTGGAGGGATACCCTTCTCCTAACTCATTTTGGGTCTGATGGAGCTTGCCAACCAAGAATCTAGCTGAGCCTTTTTCCTGTTGCTGTTTTCAACTTTATAATCAGGAGGAAGAACATACTTCATATATTTGTTACTTTTTGATAATTTTATGAAATTGTGAGCTTCTCAGCTGCTGGCACTAAGGGTCAGAGGTGACTACTCACACTTACCTCCCCCAAGCTAATCTGAAACACACGTACAGCAGGTCCTCAAATAAACATCATTTTGTTATAATGTTGATGAAAAAATAAAATATTGTACATTTCTGGCCGGGACCTGCCTGTGGAGTTTGCATGTTCTCCCCACATCTGCGTGGGTTTTCTCTGGGGACTCTGGTTTCCTCCCACATCCCAAGCTGTGCACGTTGGGTGACTCAGCGAGTCTGAGTGAATGCAGTGTGTGTGAGTGCACCCTGTGATGGAAGGTCGTCCTGTCCAAGGTGGGGCGCCACCTTTCACCCTGAGCTGTCCAGAGAGGCTCAGGTCACACACGACCCTGAACTGGAATAAGCGGGTTGGAAAATAATTATCTCCCTTGTTTTCATTCATCTTCCTTAAATGTATGGATAGCTCACATTTATTTCAGTGTTTAATATTAGAAGTGTTTGGGGTCTTTATTTCGAAGTTTGGTGATGTTTTTTGTGACCAGAAATGTCCTAGGAACTTAACTCTTATTTGTGTCAATTAGCCTATGGCGGTCTTATTATACATGGTTTCATTTAAGGTCTTGTTATACATTGTTTCATTTCAGGTCACCGTTTCCAAGAACCTGTCAGTGACGTTAGGTGAGGACTGACTAACTGTACACACATAGGCTCTGGTTCTCAGTTTCAGCTATAGACAAGACTCTCCTGGGGGACTTTTTAAAAACACCACTGCCCTACCACAGACCAATTAAATCAGAATCTCTCCAGAGAAGCTGGGCATCAGGACTGTACTTTAAAAAAGTTTCCCCAGTGTTTCTAATGTGCAGGCAGGGCTGGGAACCACTGAGTCAGCCTAACCTTATCATTACAACCATTTGTTCAGTGTTTTTTTCATGTCATGGCTTCCAAAGAAAAAGGTGCCAACATTGGAGTAAATGAAGGGGACTGCTTGCAGCCAGAGGCAGCTGGTCTGAGAGAGGCTCCAGTTGCCCACGACCTTTGCCTGGCTTCCTGAGGGCCTTGGGGGGAGGGGGGGGAAATCAGTATTTTGGCACAGCTGTAATTCATCAGGCACCTGGGTCTCACCTGTTGGCAAGCTTTGTTTAGTTGCTGATATTGGAATATTCTGGGAGGATCCTTGTGCAATCTGAGTAATATAAGGTCTGTTTTATAGAGCTCTATTATACTTTTCATTTACAGCTTTAGTGAGGTATAATTGACGTGCAATAAACTGTAAATGTCTAAAGTGTACAATTTGATAAGTCTTGACTTTTGTATATACCTGTGAAACAAACCATTACCACAATCTAGAAAATGAACATATTCATCATCCCCAACAGTTCCATCCTTCTTTCCACCCCTTCCCAGAGAACCAGTGATCTGCTTTTTGTCATTGTAGATTAGTTTTCCTACTCCAGAATTTTACATAAATGGACTCCTGTATACTCATACTCTTTTGTCTGGCTTCTTTTACTCAGCATAGTTACTTTGAGATTCATTTGTGTCATTGCATGTGTCAGTAATTCACTTCTTTTTGTTACTTAGCAGTCTTCAGTTGTGTGGACATATCACATTTCTTTAATTCATTCACCTCTTGGTGGACATTTGGGTTACTTAGGATTTTTAGATATTATGCGTAAGGCTGCTATGAATAGTCATGTACAAATCTCTGTGTGGACATGTGCTTTCATTTTCGTGGGCTAGGGGCAGGATAGCGGAGTCATATGGTAGGGGCTCTTTACCTTTTCAAGAAGCTGCCTGTGTTCCAAGGTGGTTGTACCATTTCACATTCCCCACCAGCAGCAGCTGGGAGCTGTCCTCTCTAAACTGCCTGAAGAACACTTGTTTCTGTCTTCTCTCTCTCTTTTTTAAAGATTTTATTGGAGAATTGGGGGAGGGAACAGTGCTGGGGAATCGGGAAAGGGGAACAGACAAGTTGCTGTTCTTTTGTTCTTCAGTCTAGTTGTGGAGGAGGTCGCTTCATTGGCCCATGTTGGTATTATCATTGCGCTCTTCCCGGGTGAGGCAGATTGGTTGCCGGCCATTGGATAGCCGCTCATGGTGGCTCATGGCAGCCCAGCTCCAGATCGAGCTGTTGTTCAGCATCTTAGCTGTAGAGGGCAGTGTCACTGGCCCTCATATGTGGGATCCGAACCGGGGCCCTGCTGCTTAGAGCTGGTGTCTCACACCAACTCCTAACCAACACGCCACTCTGCCCGCCCTGTCTTCTCCTCTTGACCGATGCCGGGTACCTCCTTCTTTTCTTGGGGTACGTGTGAGAGAGATGAAGATGGGAATTAGGGACGAGAGGTGGAAACATGTATGAATGAGTGGAAGGGTGAATGGCTGTAGTAGATAAATAAAATTATCTTGGTTTCTTTTTTCCCCTCCATCTTTCTGTTTCTTTCCATCTGTTGTAGGCACTCAAGAAACAGGCAGTGGTCCAGATCATGTCACTAAAGTCGGATTATTGATACTTCTCTTTTTGTGACTGAGTGATTGATATTTTCCCCTGTCACCTGCAGGTGCCCAGACACCATGCCACAACCCTGCAGACTTGACATTGGCAGGAAGTAGAAGACGTCCTTGACTCCTTCGCCCCCATCCTCACCATGTCTTCGACTCAGGGCAATGGGGAACACTGGAAGTCCCTGGAGTCCGTGGGCATCAGCCGCAAGGAGTTGGCCATGGCCGAGGCCCTGCAGATGGAGTACGATGCTCTCTCCCGGCTCCGGCACGACAAGGAGGAAAGCAGAACCAAACAGAACACAGACCCCTCTCTCATCAACTGGGATGAGCCCGTCCTGGACTTATACAGCAAGCCGGCAGGAAGGCAGAAGGACCTCACGCTCTTACGCGGTCTCTCTGGCTCTGATCCTACCCTCAATTACAACTCGCTCTCCCCACAGGAAGGGCTGCCCAACCACTCTACCTCCCAGAGCTCCCAGCCTGGCCCGGATCCCTGGCCCAAAGGCTCCCTGGCTAGAGACTATCTCTACATTTTTGATGGTTCAGATGGGGGTCTCTCTTTGTCCCCAGAACCGGGGGACATAGATGGCTCTTCTAAGAAACTGTCCCCACCTCCTTTGCCTCCCCGAGTCTCTATCTGGGACACCCCTCCTCTGCCTCCTAGAAAGGGATCCCCTTCACCCTCTAAGATCTCCCAGCCCGATGACATTAACACTTTTTCGCTGGTTGAACAGCCTCCAGGCAAATTGCTAGGGCATCAGATCCTAGAAGAAGAGGAACCGGGAGGTGGGGGTACGGGACGTGTACTGGGGTCTGTGGACTATGATGGTATCAATGATGCAATTACACGGCTCAACTTGAAGTCCACTTACGATGCAGAGATATTGCGGGATGCCACCAGGGGCTGGAAGGAGGGCCGGGGGCCCCTGGACCTTGGTAAGGATACTCCTGGAAAACCTGTGGCCAGGAGCAAGACCATGCCTCCTCAGGTACCCCCTCGCACCTATACCTCCCGCTATGCTAACCGAAAAAATGGGACAGCTGGCAAGAACCACCGGATTTCTGCTGCTTCGGTGAGGCCCTTATTGTGTTTCTTCTGTCCTCCTTTCCTCATGCCACTCAGAAACGGAATAGCCCCTCTTTCTTGTTTGTTGTTCCAAACCTGCTGTGTACTCATCTCTTTAGTCCCCTCCCCCCTCTGCTTCTGCCATTGGCCCCTAGGCCCTGGTGGGGGAGAGGAAAAGGGACCCTAAGAGACGAGACTCCTTTCCAGGGCTGAGTTTTGTGTACCTTACATATTTTGTACGTCTCCTCGGGGCAGGTTTTTAGAATCCCAGCTCCTAGTGTGTGTTCGCTTCATGATGTGAGGACTGAACCGGGGTGACGGGATTCATTGTCGACTCCGGCCGAAGGGCCTTGTAGACCAGAGCGTTGTTGCTTCTGCTTTCTGACTTCCTGCTCTGCCAAAAGTGCAGCATGGTGATGAGGCTCAATCATATTAACCACTGTTTCGTGCTTACCGAATACCAGACCCAGGTCCAGGCCCTTCAGCAATGCTGCCTGATGGTCCAAGGCACAAAGCCCTGGTCTCTCTCGTTCCCAAGCTGGCTTGTTCTCATTCTCTCTGTCTCTCTCTTTCTGCCTCTTTCCTTCTGTTCTTCTTTCTCCCTCTATCTCTCTCTTCCCTCTGTCTCTCTCTCTCCTCTCTGTTTATGTCTCTCTGTGTCTCTGTGTCTATCTCTCTGGTCTCTCCCTTTCTCTCTTTCTCTCTTGTATTGTGATAAAATTAATACATAACATTGAATTTACCATCTTAACCAATTTTAAGAATATAGTGTAGTGGCATTAAGTACAGTCACGTTGTTCTGTGACCATCACCACTATTCATCTCCTTTCACATCGAAAATATTTAGAAAAAATATGCAGCATGACAATAATAATTTTACTTTTATCAGTACATAACATAAAATAGCGAAGTATTTATAAAGAAGCACAGCGTGGGTTCCAGGGCAGCTTTGATCTTTTTTCTGGTGTAAAAGGTGCCAGCGGCATCTCCATGGGCGGGGACCTGAAGATGGCTTTTTGTTTCCCCCTTGGGCCCTGGAAGCCCTGGCCCTAAAGGAGTCAAGAGGCGCCCCTGTGGTTGAGGACTTCCGGTAGGAGCAGCGTTCACTTCATCCCACCCCTGCTTCCTCCCTTATCCATTGTCTAAGGGGCGCTGGGGCTTTCCCACCATGTGTCCCAGCATGGAACCCTTCACAACTCTGGAAAAGCCACGTGGTCCTTCCTTCCTGTGCTTCTGCTGATACAGCCCCCAAAGCAGCATCAGCTCCTGGGGATAAGTCACAGCTGTAGAGCTCAGGGCTTTTTAAAGGCCCTGCTCTGAGAGGTGGGGCTGTTCCCGCTATTTATAGGGCAGGGAGAGTCTTATTCCCAGCTCCGAGTTCCTCGCACAGAGCTGGGCCTGCTCCCTGGGTCCTGCCACCCTGGTAGGTGGTCACCTCTATCACTCCTGTGTCTCCTCCTCCCCCCAGTCCTTCCCCCATCCCCTGTGTGTCATCAGAGTTCTGAGGGGGGCTCGGTCCAAAGTCCCCTTGAAGAAGCTGGGGCAAAGCGCAAAGCTCTTGCCCATTCTTAGGGGGGAAATGCGGCCTTGGTCTTCCCCGCCTCAACTCGGAGCAGGGGCCCATCTCCCTGGGCAGGGGAACCCCTCAGGCCCTCGGCCTGTGCCACCACCCCGCCTCCGTCGGGCTTCCAGCCGGAGGGACCCTCCTTATCCCAGGCCTGCGGAGCCAGCTCTGGAAATGGTTGGCTCCAAATGTCACCTTGGTACCCCCGCTGCCAGCCTCTGCCCGGCAGACTCCCCCAGCCAGTACCGGGCGATGCCACCAGGGCCTGCCAGCAGGGCAAACGTAAGTGGCTTTTGTTTTCTTATGGATCCAAGGAGTGGTACTGAAAGGGCATGAAAATGGCCTTCAGTAGCTACTCTGTTCCCTCCCTGCCCCCACTCTGTCTCTCTGTCTTAGGTTCTGTTGCTCTGTTGCTCTCACTCTCACTTTTGTGGGTTAATTGCTGACAGTGGTGCTATTGTTTTGACTGGGACACAGGCACGAACTTGGCAGAGCCAGGGCCTCACATGCCAACTGCCCCATTGCTGCTCTCCCCTTTCTACACTCCCCCCCTGCTCACCCAGGGGAGCAAGGCTAATTAATAGGAAGGGGTCACTCTGAGGAAACACTGGATATTCAAATGAGGAGCTCTGTGGTGCCATCTGCCTGAGGGGTGGGGAGGACATGAGAACAGCCAGAGAGAGAATGAGAGGTGAGGCATTGCTGTGTGTACAGACCTAAGCTTTGGGCTCCCGGAAGCAGCTGTTGGCACCGACTGCCTGCCAGCACTCCATCCCAGCTGCAGCTACGTTCCCTTGGGGTGGCCTCCCCTGGAGGCTCTGGGTAGGCCCGTCAGGCAGAAACCTGTCATGCACCAGCTCTCCAACTTCCTGCTTCTGGAGGCCAGGCAGCAGGCCAAACCAGAGGGCTTCGTTAGCACTCCTCATGGGTGAGTGAAAGCAACGCCGCGACCATGGGAGACAGTTTGAGGTCTTGTCTGAGAGAATCGCCACCACTACACATGTGTTCTCATACAGGAAGTGGGGCTCAGGCAGGCTCCCTGACAGTGCAGCTGCTCAGAACCAGAAGACTTGCGAGCCAGGAGGAACTAAACCTTCTTACCAGGTTCCCTTTTGCCCAGGAAGCTGCTCTGACACTTTTTCCTCAAATAGCATTGACCAAGAAGGCATGTGTGTCTGTCATTGCCTCCATCTAAGAGTTCTCGGTCTCTCTCTGTGTTGGGTCCCCAGGGCTTGGTGTGGATATTAAGGCCCAGGGCCCAGCTTTCTTGAGGACTGTTTGGCCACCCACTTGCCCTGGCTTCCGTGGTGTGGCAGGAGAAACAGCTGCCTGCTTAGCTCCCCTCCAGCCCCTGGGAGCCACCGAGCAGTACTGTATGCTGCTGAGCCTGCTGGACTGAGTTCATTAGACATTGTCCCTTTGGGAAGCAGGTTTGGCCACACTCTTGCCCACCCCACCCAGGCTCCAAACTTAGCCAAAGCTTCAAGTTTTCTCTTTCAGCTCAGCTCTGGGTCTCCTAGGATGGCAGATAAATGTACTCCTGGATTTCCCATATTTTCTCGTGCTCCTTTCACTGAATGTTGGATCCCTAGAAAGTCTCCCCACCTACAGTCTAATAGGTTCGACCTGCGACGAGTAGGAAGAGGGTGACATGAGGGAAAAGGCACTGAGTCAACTGCTCTTCTCTTCAAGGTGGGCTCCCGGCCCCACACTGTCACCAATGGCCACGAGTTGTTTGAGGTCTCAGAGGAGAGAGATGAGGAAGTTGCTGCATTCTGCCACATGCTGGATATGTAAGAGTTAAAGAATGGTGGTTTTGGAGGGTTGTGGGGCCGGGGAAGAGGGTCACCTTCCTTTTTCTAGGAAGGAAGAAGGGCCACATTTAATAAATCTCATTTCAGAGCTCTGGGGTGCTTCCTACAACAGGTGTTCGTGGGCTTTTTGAAATCTTAGAAATTTCACGATTCTTAACAAAATTCCTAAGACCTCGGTCTAATAGTCAAACTACCCCATCGCTTCAGGCTCGGTTGCCCTTAGGAGCAAGCGAACCCCAGATGGAGATAAGAGTGTTATCTGGAGCTAAAAGAAAACGGAAGTGGATTCAGAACAATTTTCCATTGCACTTAGCATGGAAAGCTTTGTCATTTTAGAACTCTCCCTACTGTTCAGTTTGGCTTGGGAAACATTTTGCAACTGTAGCAAATGTGTCAAGAGCATGGTTTCCCAGAGCTGCGTCCCCATGCCTTTCATCTTGGCCTGCAGACCTGGAGGGCCAGGCTGAGTGGGGACAGAAGGGCCCGTGGGCCTCAGGGCGGGAGGGTCCCAGCAGGCCTCTTCTCGACTGCTCTCTTCTGAAGGTAGAGCGAGGATCCTTCTCCCTCTCTTCCTGCACAGCCTTCGATCTGGCTCTGATATCCAAGACTACTTCCTCACCGGATATGTCTGGAGTGCTGTCACCCCAAGCCCAGAGCACCTTGGGGATGAGGTCAACCTAAAGGTGACAGTGTTGTGTGACAGTCTGCGGGAGCCACTCACTTTTACCTGCAACTGTAAGTTAGTGGGGGAGGAGGGGAGTGAGCCTCCTTGGAGGTGGGGTAGGATCCTTTGGCTTCGATTCCCACTCTACCTTGTGGCCCAGATGAGGGGCAGTAAGGAAGCTCCTTTGGGAGGCTGGCTTCGGGGCAGGCTTTTTAGGTCCGTGGTCACTTCCTCCAACTTCAAACTGCTTTATCAAGTTGGTGACAGCACTGGAGCACACTTAGTCAGGAATGGAAAATCAGGGTAGATGCTGAGCCCCGCCTGCCCCAGTGCCCCCATCTTTGTTCCTCTGTCCAATCCCTTCCAGGTTCCTCCACTGTGGACTTGCTCATCTACCAGACCCTGTGCTACACCCATGATGAACTGAGAGATGTGGACGTGGGGGACTTTGTGCTGAAGCCCTGTGGGCTGGAGGAGTTCCTGCAGAAGTGAGTGAACTGGTGGGGACAAGCCGGGTAGGAGTTGGCATCTGCCTTCTGGGTGGTAGGATTGTCAGGGGCTTCCTAGGGGAGGTGCTGGGCTCCGGGCCTGGGCCTGGCAGCTCCCCTGCAATCTGACAGGCAGGACTCCTGCTTTCTGGCCACACTCTCAGCCACGTCGCACTTTCCCCAGGAGCTCCGTCTTCCAGCAGGGTTGGCCAGCTTCCTGAGTTAAATCTGTGGAAAGAGCGTGGAGCTGGGATTAGGCAAAGACTAGGTCATATCTGCCTGCAGACTTCTGCGTGTGGAGAGATGTGTGTGGGGTGGCCGGGGGACTGCCCTACATGGTGTGTGATGCCCTTATGACGGGGGGCAGGAGGAAGACTGGGCAGAAGTGCCCAGGAACCTAGGGGAGAAATCCCAGTTGCTCTCTCTTCCCGCTTCTGCCAACAAGCCTTTTCCTACTGGCATGTGCAGCTGGTTACCCTCCTCTCCAAAGGCTCACCGCCAGCCCCTCTCCATCCAGTGCCCTCTGCAGCAAGCGGCCTCCCTGGACAGTGTGATGCGGACCAGCAGCAACAATGCCCTCTCCACTGCCCGTGGGCTCTGGAGTGCTGGCTGGAAGGGGGGCATTACACCCCTCAGGTGGTACAACAGGGTGGCAGGCTGTGGGATCGGCCAGAGGGCAGATAAGGAAATAAAGAGATCTGCTCTTCTTCCCAAGCTCCCTATTGCCTGCCGACTGCCCCTGAAAGCAGGGCTAGGGAGTGGGGAAAGGAGAGGCCTGTTTCGTAGTTGTTAGGAGAGCCCGTAAGTGCCACCCCTTGCTCCTTACATCCAGGTGTAGGTGCAAGCATGGTTGATCTATGGCTAGAGCAGTTCTCGGCTGGTTCTCTAACCCGAGGGATGCTGTGGGCCCTTTCTGGACTCTGTGTCCTCACCTGGAAAAGGACAGGTACAGGGCTCGCAGCACAACTCCAGGGAGAGCTGTTCAGATGTTTCCGTGTGTCCTCGCTTTCTAAACCTGGAGGAATGAGAGGGGTCCCAGACTCAGGGGCTCCTGGCAGACAGCTTCCCAGGCACCCTGCCACTGTCGTAAGGGGACAAGAAGCACAGTGGGTCACACCATACAGCGGGTGTGGGTTCTGGCTTGCCACTTACTAGTTGTGAAGCTCTGACCCTCGGTTTCTTCCGTAAAATGTAGCGAGGATTCAATGTGAGAATGACCCAATGAGCAATCAGTAAATATTAGCAGGGAAGGACGAGTCCAAAGAGAGGAATTCTTGGGGATTGGATCAGATGGATACTGTCATTTCCTTGGTAGGTCCTCTAGACTTTGAGCCCCCGAGTCCAGAGGTGGTAGATAAGCTGCCAGGTTCTGATTTCCTGCCAAGACCCAGGTGGAGTGCTCAGGGTGAGGCGGAACGGGGTAGATGCTGCCCCGACTCTTACTCGAATGCACATAGGAGGCCCTTCCACAGAGAATGCTGAACACGTCCTCAGGGAGCCTGTGTCCATGACTCTGGTCCAGGCGCCTCCCTCCCCTCCCGGGCTAGACTCTTCTCTTCCTCCCACCAACAGAAAAGTCCTGACCCTTGAGCACAAGACAACTGCCTTGCATGGGGTGGAAAAGACCCTCTGGGGGTTGCAGAAAGCGTCCAGCTCCCAAGGAAGCCCTGTGGTCTCCCACCCTTGCTCAGCCGGAGGGGCTGGTGCCAGGGGGAGTGGCAGGTCCAGGATGCAGGGTACTTTCAGATAAGAGCCCTGAGACAGTCCTGGGGGAGGGCTGGGTTTCCTGCCTCCTCCCCAATCCCCACCACACTCTTCCTTCCTTTCAGGGCGCTCCCACCAAACCTGTCCCCAACCCCAGCTTCTCCAGACCCAGGTTTTGGCTGCAGCTCAGATTTAGCGGGTTGAGGCCTAGGTCAGAGGTTTGGCCCCTCAGGATGTGGAGAACCCCCCTAAGTCCTAGCTGGACCCTGACTGGCCTCGGGCCCAGGGAACCTCTGTCGGCTCTGCACACACCCCTCCCCTTCGCTCCTTTCCTGGCCCAGCATTGCTGGCCTAGACTCCCAGCTCTGCTGAGGAAGGAAGTCCCTTACCAGCTTCTGTTCCCCGGCTGCTGGGACCTAGCACAGGCCTGCAGTGCCGGCCTGCAGGTGGGACTCACCTTGTCCTGGGTTTCCTTTCTGACTGAGGTGTGATTTGGGAGGGATGAAGAGACTGGGTCGTGGATGGACCCCCTAGGCCTCCTTCTCTGAGACTGGTGTGTGTGAGGAGGGTGACTCATATGCTGTCACTTGAGCTGTGGGAACGGCATGCAAGCAGGTGTCTTGTCAGGAAGTCCATAGGGATTTATATAGTTATTCACAATCAGGCAGGACCCATGGAGGGAGGGGAGAAGCAGACTTTTGATGGGCTTCAGGATAACAGGAATCTTCATAACAGGGCTTCAGGAATCTTGTTGGGCTTGCTTGGTTAACCTCAGCACCCCAGTTGGTAATGGGGGGGGGTGGGAGACTTAGGACCTCAATGGGGGTGTAGCATCACCCACTAAGCTCCACGCCCAAGCCTGAGCACAGGCTGACCTCCAACATGTCCCATATACCAAAGATAAGAGCATGGGGTTTAAACACTGCCCCCTGAGAAGACCCTCTGTTCCCCACCCCACCAGAAGTTCCCACCCTGGAGTGAACCAGCCATAACAATACAGGTAGTAAATACCTGGGAAAGTCATTGTTCGTACAGATCAAGGTTCCGTGGGTTAGGTGGCTTTTCTTTAGACCTCAGTTCCTTCCCTGAGCTCTACCATGACATTTTCCAGGAGCCAAGGTGGGGGCGCAACACAGGTACTACCCCCCTTGACCTCCCCTTCCTCCTGTTTCTCTGTCCCCAAGGCTCAGGTCTGCATCCCCCTTCCTACTGAGTCCCCAGGATGCTAATGGTCTTGTTCCCCTCTGCCACCAGCAAGCACGCCTTGGGCAGCCATGAGTACATTCAATATTGCCGCAAGTTTGACATTGACATTCGGCTACAGCTGATGGAGCAGAAAGCCGTACGCAGCGACCTGGCCCGGACGGTTCGTGTGGGGGAGATGGGGTGGCAGAGGGTGATATGGACACATGCACTGGGAGTGGGATAGGAGCGCTGGGCTGAGATGAGGGCACCGCCCCTCCCTGAATAGGGCACTTCTTACACAGGTAAATGATGACCAGAGCCCCTCCACTTTGAACTACCTCGTCCATCTGCAGGAGAGGCCAGTCAAACAGACTATCAGCAGGTGAGAGTGGGTGCCTGTTGGATGTGGGCCAAACAGGAACTCCGAGGGGACCCCAGTAGATACCCTCGCTTGCCTTTCTGCCAGGGCTTCTTGCAGATGTTGGGGGTGGGGCCCAAGATTCTTGTGGGGGCGATCCCCACTCCAGGCGTATTAAATCTCTTCCCTCTAGTACTTGGCCTTCATTCTCCAAGTGAGAGGTGGTGAAGTAGAAAGGACTCACTCTTCATGGGACATATGGAAAGAGTGGGAACTGCTTCGAACCAGAGTGGGATTCCTGAGCTATGGGAGAGGGAGGGAGAAAATGGGTCTCCCAGCACACGGGGTCTATTCTGACCTCTCCTGTGACTCTTCCCTGCCCCCACCTCCCCAGGCAGGCCCTGAGTCTTCTGTTCGACACTTACCACAATGAGGTGGATGCCTTCCTGCTGGCTGATGTGAGTATAGATCCTGGGGCTGGCCCAGCTGCCCAAAGCTCCCCCACGTCTCCCCCAGTCCTCCGGGGATCAGGCAGCCCTAGAAGGGATCTGGAGCAGACCCTGAAGATTTGTCAGGAGAGCACTTCTTTCATTTCCCTACCTCACGGGCAAACCAAGACTGTTAGCTGTTGGGCAGCTGGCAAGTGGGTGGATGGGGTTCTGTTCCTCTGTGGAAGTAGGTCAGAAGCCGTGCCCTGATCCCTGTCTCTGGAGTAGGGCATCTCAAAAGCTGAGGGACATAGAGTTGTTGCCCAGCTGCTGTACATGAACGTGCACTGGGACTGTCCTGTGAGGAGTGAAGGCCCAGGAATATCTGATCTGAGAGGTTCTGAGGCTCTGGAGTCACAGTGGAAAACCGTCGGGAGGTGGAGGGTCCCAGAGGCAGGGAAGAAGCAGGATTTTCCTCACGTGGATTCACAGGGAGTTTTAAGCCTCAAAACCATGAGAATAAACATTTGCCCCAAATGTTGTGAAGCTAAATAAAATCAGGTAGGGATCTTCAAAAAAGTCGCTGACCTCTGACCTGGTCAGCAGTGCCCACAGAGCTCTGTGTCTAGTTCGGCCTCCTCCCCACTGCCAGAATCCCTTCTCAAGCGGGCTCTGCCTGAACTTTTCCTGTGATGAGTGGGGCGTTCTGTGAACACTTTTTCTGCTCCAGCCTCGCCCTGTGTTAGTGGCTGCTGGGTTTAGAGCAGCATAAGAATTGTCTTAGCTTTCAAGGGAGCTTGTGTTCCTGCTAGAAAAATGGAATAGGAACATAAAGCTATTAGTAGACAGAACAGGACGGTAATGAGTTAATCAAGGGCCCCTGGAGAGGGATAGGCAGGGAGACTGGCCAGAGAAAGCTCTGGGAGGGAAGCTGGATTTTAGCTGGTCCATGATTTGAGTTGATATAGGTAATCAGGGCAGGACAGATGAGGGAATTCCAAATGAGCAAACTGCCAGGACCCAAGTGCAGAGGGCACCGAAGGGATATGGCATGCCTGCGGTACTGAGATGAGCTAGGTCTGGAAATTCTAGGTGATAGTCTGGGAAACAAGGCTGCGTGAGCAATTGGGACCTCAGTGTGGCCTCTGGTCTCCTTGCTAGTCCCTCTGGATTCACTTTATTAAAACTGCATGTCTCGGAGGAAGACCCCGTGTGTGTAGAGTATAAGTAGCTGGGAGTAAGAGGGAGCTCAAGGAGGATGGCTGAGAGACCTGGGGAACGTGTACGTGCCTCGTTTCATTCAGCAGGAACGATTATTCTCTGATGTTGGGTGTTTGACAATAAAGCATGGATTCTCCTAGTTATTCCTGAGGGTCATGAGCCCACGCCTCTCCCAGCCTATTCTTTCGACACTGGGTGCTGGAGGCTGAGAGCACTAGCCTGCCAGCCTCACTGTGCCCCTCCCACAGGGGGACTTCCCACTGAAAGCTGACAGGGTGGTCCAGTCCGTTAAGGCCATCTGCAACGTCCTGGCTGCCGTGGAGACCCCTGAGATCACCAATGCTCTCAACCAGCTGCCCCCATGCCCCTCCCGCGTGCAGCCTAAAATTCAGAAGGTAACGGGGCCCCGAGCACTAGCCTGGGGAAGGAGGAGAGGAATATTCACAGGCAACTGGGTAATTAGGTCTCCAACTAGTAAGACTCCCCTCTCCACCTCCACCTTGTAGGTTTCAATAGTTTAGCCACCAAGGGTTCTTGGGAAATGGATGTCAAGTATGTCCCCTCTTCTTGCGGACGAGGGAGGGCCAGGGTCTGCCCCTGAGACTGATTGCTGGGAGCCCAGACTAGCAAAGGTTATGGGTCCAGGCTCATAATCACTGAGGCATTGCCTGGCAGTTTGCGTACTCATCAGGGTGCAACACCAAAATCTCCCTGAGCCAAGGGTCCTGTGACTCCACAGTGGGGGCTCTGTGCTGTGCAGACAGGGACAGCACGACAGGCACTTGGTCTGTAGTGGAGTGGCCTGAGGGTTGGAGTGTCTCATCTGGGTGGACACGATGATTTTATCCTTGGTCTGGCTCACTCTGTCCATCACACGGATCTGGTACCAACCATTACTCCATCCTCCCTGGGGGAATCTCTGCCCCTCAAACTTCAGTCCAGCCTGGTCCCGATGCGTGCAGCTGTGGAAAGCTCTCCTTCCAGTTGTGACGGAAAAGGCTGTGGCCCTGACGCTTCGCTCCCTCTCCTTTTTCTTCAATAGGACCCCACCGTCTTGGCTGTGAGGGAAAACCGAGGTAAGGGAACTGCTCTCCATCTTTATCCAGTAGGGGTGTCTGAACACTGTGAACTCTGGCCAGATTCTTTTCTTCCTGGCCCCCTTGATTGATGGGTCCAGGTCTGCCTCTGTGTGTGTGTTTTCCTATATGAAGCATGGACACAGCTGGAAAGTACATTTTCCACAAAATGTTTTCTCATTATTTTTACTAGTTGTGCCTGTGGTGTCCCTGGGAGATGGTGATGAGGTGGTGTAAGTGAGAGGGTGGGGGTGGTGAGGCAAAGTTAGCCCTGGGTTTCAGAGGAGAAAACGCTCCCTTGGGGAGGTTGCAATTATTTCCCAGGCTGCTTATAACCCCTGCATTTCTAAGGTAGGGTGGGCCTGGGGAGAAGGTGATAAAGAATTTTTCACTAGGATTTCCTCTTAAGTCTTTCAAGCAGAACTTTGTCCTACAAAACCCATATCTCTGGGATTTTTGGTCAGTGATTCCCAGTCTTTTGAGCTTCATGGACCAATAAAATCTCCCCAAAAGTATTATTTTGGGGACCAACATAGGAGTTGTCAGCTTTTATTTTGCCAAGCAGACTGTTTAAAAGTAACTGACAATTATGATTCCCACCATTTCCTAAAAGAAAGGACATTTAACATTAAATATGTTGCAATACATAAAAACAAGGGCAATGTTTAAAATTTAATATGTCATTTTACGAGAAGCTCATGACATGCTCCTGCTTTTTTCTCATTTCACCACAGATGGGTGAACTTTGTCACCGCTATTAGACAACCAACTGGCATTTGGGGACTATTTCCTGGGGTATCCCATCCTAGTCAGAGCCATGGCAACAAATGGGGCTTATTGAGGCCTCCTGACTTTGCCTTCTGACCCCTTTCTTTCACAGAGAAGGTTGTGGAAGCCTTGACAGCTGCCATCTTGGAACTGGTGGAGCTGTACTGCAGCACATTCAATGCAGACTTCCAGACAGCAGTGCATGGGAGCCACAAGCATGATCTGGTCCAGGACGCTTGCCATTTCACTGGGCCCCTGGCCTTCACTGTCTATGCCACCCACCGCATCCCCATCACCTGGGCTGCAAGGTGAGCCTAGGGCTGATGGCCTCTAGGGAGGAGCAGAGTTTTGACTTTCAGGTGGCTTCTCCCACTGCCCTGTGTTTAGGATCTGTGGCATCATGGTACATGGTGGCCGAGAGCGCATGGTGGCTGAGGGGCACGTGGGCTGGGACATCCCAGAGGAGAGAGAAGGTCCCCTAGGAGATGGAGAAGAGGCAACAGCAGGCAGATCCTGCCGTTCCGGTTCTCTGTCAATGCTGGCTGCATTGGCATCCCTGCCCCCTCCCATCCAAGGCCAGCTGATGGAGACAGGCGACAGATGGCTGCTTCCCAGATCAGTGCATGCCCCATGGCCAAAGACCGCACTCCCCTGCAGAGGCACAGTGGGAGGGGGCGGGGAGGTGGGCGATGACCCTTTGTCTGGAGTTCTCTAGGCTTGCAGCAGTGGGTGGGTGTGGAGAGGCACTTTCACTTGGTAATCCTCTGCTCCTCTGCAGGGTCCCCAGCATCCAAGGCCTTAGGGGAATAGGCCTTTGGCTCCACCCCCTCCTTCTAGATCCCTCCCTCCTCCTCCCTTCCCCTTCTCTTCTTTGTTCCTCACTTAATGTATTCCTCTGGGCGATTGGCAGTGAACAAAGGAGGCAGCCTGGGAAACCAGGGCCTTCTCTGACCTCTTCTGTCAGGCACCTGTCAGCCACAGCGACCCCCATGTGCTGGCATTCATGTCGGCATATGTTGTTTTCATTCCCCACCCTTCTTACCTGTGCGTGTGCACACATATGCACACCCACTCCGACTGGCTGGAGCTGGCTATAAGGAGGCTGCCTGGCTGGTTCCCCATGACAAGGGAAGAAAAGCCATGTCTCAACATGAAGCCTGAAACTGGGCAGAGAGATCCAGATGGAATTGCTTCTCCCGGAGCACACTCTGCAAATCCAACTTGGCTGTCCTGTCCCGTAACCCCATGTTATAAGTCCCCAGAGACCCAGAGGAGTTTTACCGGGGGAAACGGAGTTTGGCTTAAGTTGGGTGACTAAGATGGGTTTGGGAGCCAAGGGTCCCGACCTGCGCCCTTTCTCTTGTAGCTATGAAGACTTCTACCTCTCCTGCTCCCTCAGTCACGGTGGCAAGGAGCTGTGCAGCCCCCTGCAGACCCGAAGGGCTCACTTTTCCAAGTACCTCTTCCACCTCATCATCTGGGACCAGCGGTAAGCCCTCCCCCACAGGCTCCTGAATGCCTAGATTCAGGTGGAGGAGCCCGTTCCTGCATTAAACCAGCCTCCCTTACTACTCGAACCAAACAAGTCTTTCAACCTCTTGAGTTTCCACTTCGCTAATTCTTAAATGGGGACAGTATCATTTCTACCCCTCACGTTGTTATGAGACTCCAATGAGAGGTATCCATGAAGGCTCTTGGTTAAACCATGAAGGACCGTAGACGTTAGTTGTTAGTTTTAATGATAATTCATTGTTTTGATCTTTTTTCCCTTTAAAGGTGTTATTGACTTTTATTTCCCAAGTTTCCACAGAATAGAGAGAGGAGACTTACAGATGGAGAAGGGAAGGTTGTCTGGAGGAAAGAGGAACTGGCTTGGAGCCAAAGAATGAAGGCTGTCTTCTCGCTTTGCTTCTAGTCCTACGCTTTGTTTGGCCTCTCTGTGCCTCAGTTTCTCAAACTGTAAAATGGTGACATTTGTTCAACTCAGGTAGTTGTGGCACTGACAGGAGATAGACAAGCTGTAAACATGAAACCATAAGCACGTGATAGTATTAATCACCATTCATCCACAATAATGTGCTGCCAGGAAGGGGAGCCGCAGCCCAGCACAGCAGGAAGGAAATGGAGGTGAGGGCGCCTTGAATGGCTGCAGGTGTTTGCCTGCCACCAGCCTCTTCTGTGCTGTGCTCTGTCCTCCCTCCAGACTGCCAGGAAGCCCTGGTTTGCTGCCCCAGGTTCACTTCCCCAGACTAACTATATCTGAGTCTTTATTTTCAGAGCAGAACTACTACTTCAATATTCGAGTGCAGATTGGAGAGACTGAGCAGGGTCCTTGGGGAGGCCAAGGAAGCCAAAATAGTAGACGGAGAGTCTGTGGAAATGCTGGGGTGGGGGTAGGGTGGGGTCACTTTACAGATGGACAACTGGGGAGGCAGGCCCTTTCTCCTGTCTTCAGGCTTGTGTAATTCTTAAAGCCATGACGGTGTGAGTAAAGTCCTTTAATGAAACAAGTGCCAGGGCAGGAGAGGCTCCTTGGAGGCCAAGGACAGCTGCATTACATGGCTCCTGAGTTTCGCCATCCCCTTGGCATTCTCTGGCCTCAGTTACTTCTGCTGCCAAGGGAGGGGTGCTATGCAGTGCTCTGGCCCAGGAAGACCCCACAAAATTGGCCTTAGACCCTTTTCCCATAGAGTGTCAGAGGTCTAGAAGCAGCCTGGTCCGTCCTGCCTCAGCCTGCCTTCTTTGTGGTCTTATTCTACGCCCTGTCTGAGTTCTCTGCCTCGAATCTCAAAGGGCTGGTCCCCTGCCTGGAGCCTTGTGGAAGGTGTCACCTCAGTGCTGTCTATCCAGATGCCCCACAGGAGACCTCTTGGCAGCTTCATGGTGAAGACCCAGCCAGGCATTTGAGAGAAGGCGCTACAGTGTAAGGTTCAGAGCTCAGGCTTTGGGCGTGGTCATCATCCCATCCTTACTGTGGGTGCAACCTTGGACAGGTCATTGAACCCAAAATGTTCAATGGTAATAGGGCTACATGGTAATAGGGCCTACCCTCTAGGATTGTTTGAGAGCAGTTGGGACATTGCAAGTAAAGTTTTTGGCCCAATACCTAGGGCATGTTAAATGCTTTCTTCTTCGTTTTATTCTTAGCTGGAGGAGCCCTCTCAGTTCCGGTTTCTCTGTTCCAAGTGACTGACACAGTGACTTGTGAAACAGAGATATTTATGCATGAAAATATTATCTGTATAGTCTACTTCCAGTAAAGTAGCCACAGTGTCACGTAGCAAAAAGCACACAGGAAATGTATACACACGTTGCACAAGTGAAGCTGTGGTCCCCCTTTTTACTGATGAGGAAACTGAGATGCAGAGGTGTGAGGAGTGGCCCAGGGTGGTTAAGTGGCAGAACCGGGACTGCAACGGGCACATCCCAGGAACCCTTCCTGGAGGAGGGAGCCCTTTTGTGTGATTTGATGTTGAGGCATGGGTTGCAGAGGAAAGGGGAGAAGTCTCTCAGGCAGAGAGGAGGTTCAGGGCTGCAGTGAACCTCCTGGTTATCCTGCCTGACCCCGGGTGAAGGTCCACGGGGAGGTTCGTTTTAAGGGGTTATGGTTTCAGTTAGAAAGTTTCCTCCCTCCCCTTTTCCTCCAGACACGAGACTGGAAGCCTCTTCTTGGGTGAAAAGAGAGGAATACGGCCCAGCTCCCTCAGCTGTTTGCTATGGGGTCAGCTGATTCTCTCCCAGTGCAGCCTTGACAGGGATCAGCTAACTCTCAAAATAGGCCCAGCAGCCGTGCTGTGCTACCTCCAGCCAATCCCTGGCCTGGCCTGTCCACTGGCTGCTGGGGGGGCTCTAATTATAGCTGTAGGCCCCTCAGGGGAGAAGCAGCTGGGACAGACCCGGAGCTCTGCCAGTCTCTGGAGGGAGGGAGTGCCTGACTTGGGTGGAAACTCCCCTGGAGGAGTAAGGGGCAGTGTGGAGGGAGCCTGCCTTATCATGAAACTGCTAACCTTGAGGGTGGCGGCTTTGCGTCTGTGCCCTCTGGCATAGAAGCTGCTGGGTCCTGGGCCGGCCAGGAGGGTGTGACAGAGTGGACTTTGGCCCAGGGACAGCTTCCGGAAAGGTAATGTGGGCCTTTCCTCTCTTTCCACTGCTCTAGCTCACCCCACCTTAGCTCCTTATCCTGAACTCGGAGGGTGTGATTCAGGCACAGGAGCCTGGGGGAGAACCTCTAAGCTTGGGTAGTGGCCAGGGCTTGTGTGTCTCAGTTCTTTGGGCCCTGCCAATTGGCTTTCTCATCCACCCCCCCCCCACACACCCCTGGACTTTGAGAAACCCCTTCTCTTTATCCCTGTGGCTTTGAAAATCTTTGGGATGAGAACAAACCATCTTGTGCCACCCAGGGGGTTAGGAGAAAGGGAAGGGAGACGACAGACAGGTGGAGGACTTTGGGGGAGGGTGACCTCAGGGCAGAGAACAGGCTGCTGCTTCCTGGTTGTTCTCAGCAGCAGGAAGTAAGGGAGGGGTGGGATCCTTAAATGGAAAAGGATTATCTAAAGAAGCAGCTTTTGGTGGCCCTCTGCAGAAGTCCTAAAACAAGGGAAGGAGCATGGCTTAGAGCATGGGACATGTAGTCACCTGAACTCTGAGATGGTTCCGGCTAAGCAAGCTCTGTCTAGTCACCATAGGTAGCCCCCAAATCAGGGGATGTTTGCCTCACTCCACTGAGTGGCTGCAAAGACACCATACTGTGCTTTTACAATAGGAGCATCCAGTGGAGGTTTTACCTACAGTTTGGGACTGTCCTGGTTCTGTAGAAAGACTTCCCCAGGGAGCATGTCCAGTATCCAGAGAGAGAGGCCAAGCTCTCAGCCTTAGCTTGACTTCCTGGGCCACTTGTCTCTTGAAGCCCCAGGGGTGGCACCTCCTGATGTGGTTTCCTGTTCTCCCTAGGATCTGCTTCCCAGTGCAGGTGAACCGGCTGCCTCGGGAGACGCTGCTGTGTGCCACTCTCTATGCTCTGCCCATCCCCCTGCCCGGGAGCTCCTCAGAGGCCAATAAGCAGCGACGGGTGCCTGAAGCCCTGGGCTGGGTCACTACCCCGCTCTTCAACTTCAGGCAGTATGTGAGCCCCAGGGCAGCAGCTTCTTGGCCTTGAAACGGAAGGACGGGATAGAAAGAAGGGCCTGGCTGCTGTACTGGTCACTGCCCCTCCGGAGGGTTGGCCGTGAGGGGCTCACCAGCAGAGTCCAGAGGGTCCTGGTCCTGGTGCAGGGGACCAAGGCACAGGACTAGTGACTAGGACAATTGATGTAACCAACAGCTCTTGGGCAGGACTGGTGGCCCAGGACTATTGGGGAGGGGTATGGAAATGCAATGCCCAGGTAACATGTCATCTGGTCTTATCACTGGAAGGACATTAGAGGTCATTTAGTCTAATCTCTACCTCACGAAGGCATCCTTGCCACCAGGTCATCCAGACTGGGGTGTGGTTAGCTCAGAAAGGCTTGCTGGAAGGGGGTGCTTTTCTAGGAGTTGAAAGAAGAAAAAGGCTGTCGTCTAGGGGGAGAATGAGAGAGAAGATATGGGTGATGGCATCAGGCAAAAAAGGCAGATTTTTGGATGGGGGAGTAGGAGGAAAACCATGTCCTTAGCCACTGGGTTTGTGGGCTCATCCCACCTTCCATCCTCCTTAGAGTCCTGACCTGTGGCCGGAAGCTTCTGGGCTTATGGCCAGCAACACAGGAAAACCCCAGTGCCCGCTGGAGTGCACCTAATTTCCACCAGCCGGACAGTGTCATCCTGCAGGTGAGAGCTCAGCCCCAGTGTCTGCCTCCCACCTGCCCATCAGGACCACACCAGATTCAGCTTCAAGTGTTCCCTAGAGGTTGGGCTGGGATGGAGGAGAAAGTGCTGGAACTGTGGGCATGGCATGATGATGTGACTGAAGCCACCGGGTGAATGTGGTTAGACTTGGAGTACAAGGATGAGTTCTATGGAATCTGTTCCATCATCTGGAGTTAACTTCGATTTTAAGGATCCTGAAGGCAGGGTTCGAGACCCTCATCATCCATGGTTCAACTCCTCCGAGTCCCTTGTACTGAATCCTCATATGACTGAGTCTGATACAATCTGAGCTGTCCCTTGTTGGGGCCCAAGGGAAAGCCCTCCGCGAAGCCAGCTGGGAGGGTCCGCTCATGGGGAGAGGAGGAGCTGGTGCTTGGTATGGAACACGGAATGTCAAAGTGGATACAGAATGAGATAGAATGAAAGCTCCAAGAGGGAGGCATGTTTGTTTGTCTTATTTACTACTCCATGCACAGGGCATAGAACAATGATTGGTACATATCAGGGTTCAGTAAACATTTGTTGAACGAGGGAGCGTATAACTCCTTCTGAGAACTGGCTCACTCAGCTCCATCATCCTTTTTAGGAGGATGAATGTCTGGAAGCATACAGCAGGAGACCCAGGGTCGCAGGCTTTAGAGTTGCTGGGGCCCTCACCTGGGGTGCTCTGATTTCTATCAGGTAGCTGTGCCCCCCAGGACCACGCTGAAGGCTCCCCAACCTCGGCTTGGAAGCTCCCCGTGGCTCAGCTGGTGACCCTTCTTTCTGTTCAGAGTTCTAGCCTGGGGCTGGTCCCCTGACCTAGATGCATCTCAGCCCCACCTCTTCCTCACCTGCTTATTTTTATTTCTGTTTCCTTCTCTTATTTTGCTGGAAGTGACTTTAGAGAGCACCAAGTTTAACAGGGTTATTTTATAGATAACCCGAGGGGGCGAAGGGGAGGAGGGAGGGAGGTAGGAATGCTGGCGTGCGAGAAAGAAGCTGGAGACCCAAGTAGGAGGCAGCCCCCACTCACCTGCCTGTTCTCTCTGCTTGCTTCTCTGATGCTGTCCCCCAGATTGACTTCCCCACCTCCGCCTTCGACATCAAATACACCAGTCCCGCTGGAGACAAGTTTAGCCCCTGCTATGAGTTTGGCAGCCTCCGGGAGGAAGACCAACGCGTGCTTAAAAACATCATGCAGAAGGAGTCCCTGTACTGGTGAGGCATCCCCCACGTGTGGCTCAGGCCCCGCTAAGTCTATCATATTCTGTCTGACCTCTCTCACCTCCCAGCTCCAGATCCTTGTCCTCCTGCTTTGAGAGTAGAGGTGTGATGAAGTGGGCATTGCCACCTGGGCAGGAAGTGGTGGAGAGAGGGCTCTGCTGAGGGCAGCCCCCAGGCCTTATTATCTCATGAGCTGATACTAGGCCAAGTGGAGCTGTCAGGGCCAGGAAATTAGATCCTGGAATGCCCATCCCCATGCTGGGAACTTGGCCCAGACTCAGCTTGTGGGGCTTTGCCCCACACCCCGGATAAGCTGTCTACTACTTGCTGTCTGTTGGGGCAGTTGACTGCTGACTGCACCACCCTACCCCCACCTCCTGCCCCTTCCACACCCACACAGCCTTTGCATTTCTCTGGCCCTGTCACTTTCCAAAAAGGATCAGCTGGCAAGGCAAGCGGGCAGCTCTCTGGGGTGAGTGAGTCCAAGCTGATCTGATCCTTGGGGCTGCTTCTCTCACCAGGATTGGAGCAGGGGGGTGAGGAGCCCGGAACTGGAGGAGCTCGTGGCATCTGGGATCCTGCCCTGCCTGATCTCTGTGTACCTCTCTGGCTCCTGCAGGGACCTGTGCATGTGGGCTGGGGGAACCAAGAGAGAGCGGGCTCGTCTCTCACCTTCATGCCTCACCCAGCACAGAGTAGCAGAGTGACTGCACCCCTCCCCTGCCCCCACTCCTTTGCTGATCCCTGGTTTCATTAGCCCCCAGCCCCCTCCTCCCATTAGAGACCTGATCTCAGACAAGGCCTAATTATCTGTAGGTCCTATAAACCTCCAGCTGGCCCCTGAAAGCCCCAGGAGGCCTCTCAGCTGCCCAGACCCAGCCATGTGGGGACCACTGCCCTCTGGTGGCTGTCCTTGGGAGCAGTGCCCTCAGGGCATCCTCAGGACAGGGAGCAAATTTGGCACCTTTGTCCCTGCATTCCACCTCAGTCTGAGATGCCCCAGCGTCAGCATCAAAGATGAGATTTGGGCCCTAGTTCCCTTCACACGTTGCAATCACCTAGGCATCTTTAAAACATACCAGTGTTGCTTCCCCAGACGTTCCGACTTAATTGGTATGGGGTACGGCCTGGGCATAAGGATTTTGCAAAGCTCCTCAAAATAATGTGCCGCAAAGTTGGGGAACCACTGCCCTGGAGAGCGCGCAGCGTTCTCTTGGAGATGACGTACCCTCCCGTCTGGCTGACTCTGCTCTCTCTCACCTCTCCCTACCCCTCACCCCGCCCCATCTCACGCTCAGGCTCACTGATGCTGACAAGAAGCGCTTGTGGGAGAAGCGATATTACTGCCACTCAGAGGTGAGCTCGCTTCCTTTGGTGCTCGCCAGCGCCCCCAGCTGGGAGTGGGCTTGCCTGCCCGACATCTATGCTCTCCTGAAGCAGTGGACCCACATGAACCACCAGGATGCCTTGGGGCTCCTGCATGCCACGTGAGTTGTAACTTCCACCTTTCCTGACCAGGTGTCCTTCCAGAAGCCAGGGCTTGGCACTGCCCTTCACTGACCTGAGCCAGCCCTTGGGGAAAGTGGTAAAGAAGGCCTGGAAATTCAGGACTTTTCCACTTCTCCTTTCTCGCTTTATCTTTGTCTCATTTCCCCCAGTGTTTCTCAAACATACAACCAAGTAGAAAATACCCATCTACTCACTACCTGGCTTCTGACCGTTAGCATTTGCTCCATTTGCTCTGTTACGTGTCCATCTATTCATCCAGCAGTCCATCTTATTGTTTTACGCATTTTGATGTAAATTGCAGACATCGTAACTCCCTCCTAAATACTTCAGCATGAATAGCATTGACTAGAGCTCAATATTTGTTTTTGAGGCAAACTTTTACATTTTTTACATTTTTTTGAAAGGAAATGCCTCAGCCTTACTTGCACAATTGCTGAGTTTTGACAAGTTGCATACACCTGTGTCACCTGAAACAGCCTGTTTTGACAGTCCTTGCTTGCCTCTTTCCTCTGAAGGGTTTTCTGGGAACACAAGCCTTCCAGTCTGAGATCCCTGGGCTGCTTTTCCCAGGCAGTACCCAGTATTTTCGGCTTCTCTCTCACCTTCTCAGGAATGAAAATGTACCTGATCCATGTGTCTTGCCTGCAAGACTTTTTGAGGCAATGGTTTTGCTGTGCTAAACTAATTCTGCCAAGTTGTACGGACTTATATAAAATTCCATGGCCCTCTGTTATTTGCCTAGCGAGATTTGCGTTAAAGGATGGTACCAAGACACAGTCATGCTTTTGCCCTCGTAAGGGTTCTTTGATGATGGGACTTTCTGGCCCAGTGGGAATCAATGAAGAGATCTTTGGGAGTGGGATCGAGGCTTTACTCCATTTTCTTTAAATCATACAAGGAATGAACGTGTCTACCCTCCTATTCTTCCATGGCCTAAGGCCCGCTCTGACCAGGAGGCAGGGCCGTTCTTGAGGTTGCTATCCAGAGAAGGTGCTAAGGGTTCTTCCAGTAGCTTTGGCAGTATGGGGGACATTGCTGCTTCTCCACCCACGCCTCTGAAGCCCAGGTGTGAGGTGGCTGACTCGCTAGGGTGCCGCCAAGCCTGCGGCTAGCTGATCAGGGCACTGGGCTCTGTTTTGCAGCTTCCCGGACCAGGAGGTGCGGCGGATGGCTGTGCAGTGGATCGGCTCGCTGTCAGATGCCGAGCTGCTTGACTACCTGCCCCAGCTCGTGCAGGTCGGTGGACTGGCCTGCCCTCCGGTTCTGATGATCCCATCCCCAGGCCCCCATGTCGATCTGCATTCCACCTCTGAGAACCCAGAGCAGGGATAGTGGTTGGTTTAGATTAAAGGTGATCAATACCGCCTCATTTTCCCTCTCTCCTAAACAGGCCCTAAAGTATGAGTGCTACCTGGACAGCCCCTTGGTGCGCTTCCTCCTGAAACGAGCGGTCTCTGACCTGAGAGTGACTCACTACTTCTTCTGGTAAAACTGCGTGCAGAAAGCGGGGAGACGTGTGTCCTTTACTTGGGAGTGTCTGATCCCTAGGCGAACAGGGTGGGGAGCTGAGCTGCCTGGGTTCCACTATGTTGCTGACTTAGCATGCGGCCTTGGGCCAGCCCCTTATGTTCAGGGGGTCTCAGTCCACCCCTGTTTAGCGTAGCGAGGATCTTCCCTGACCCTCCTGCCTCATCCACACACGGCAGAAAGAAAGGAGAAACAGATGCTGAGGGGCTTTGAGCTCTACTTAAAGGCAGAGTGGGCACACTCTGGGATACGGATGAACACTTTCTGCATAAGCTGTGCATTCAGAGTCTATTTTCCCTCCCAAGTTTGGGATGGATTTCCCAGGGTTGGAGCTGGGTGTGACCCCTTCCCCACACTCACACCCTTGCTTGTGACCCCTGGAGTGTCCTGACTCCCCATTCTCTTTGCCCTGCAGGTTGCTGAAGGATGGCCTCAAGGACTCGCAGTTCAGCATTCGTTACCAGTATCTGCTGGCGGCCTTGTTGTGTTGCTGTGGCAAGGGGCTGAGAGAGGAGTTTAACCGCCAGTGCTGCCTGGTCAACACCCTGGCCAAGATGGCACAGCAGGTCCGGGAGGCCGCTCCGTCTGCACGGCAGGTAAGTGGGGAGAGGCTGCCTCTACTCATTTCTGGTCCCAGGCTTCAATAGCCGGTCATTAACTTCTTAGGCATCCTGACCAGCAGGATGGCACTTAATCATCTCTGATTTAGGAGCTGGAAGAAGATGACTCTCTCTAACCTATAGGCCACAAACTGAATACAGCCCATGGATATGTTTTGTTTGGCAAAGTATTAAAATTGTTATTTAACTTTTTTCCTCAAAGGCTAAGCACAGTTGTATAAATTGTTCACTGCACAAGAACACCCAGCCAGAGGGGGCAAGTGAGGGCTGAAATCCAGCCAAGCTTTGTTCACTATGCTGTGAGCCATGGCTCAGGGCTGCTGCCACCCAGAGAGGACACCTTTATCTATTTGCACAAAGGGCCTGTATTAGGCCAGCAGTGCGCCTGGTTGCTAACATTTAAAAATCGAGGGATTGTAAAGTCTAGATTGTTGGCTTTTCTTGGCAACAGCCTGAACAGCCTCTCCCCTTTGACATGCAGCCTGCCCTGGTTTCACTGGAGCCTCGTTTAAGCTGTTCTGTCGTCGCCCAGCCTCTCGAGGTGTTGGGCTTTCTGCCCGTGCACTGTTCCAGGCTGGGGTATGGGAGGGATGTCTTCTTTTCTTACAGTCTCCTGGAGGTTATCCACACTTCTCATGGGGTTGGTTATATACCAACCACTGCTGGGTGCCCACGCTGGGGAGAGGCCTGGTTCTGAGTGGAGCTTATGGACCGCTTGGCTCACCACTTCTCCTGTCCCTCCTCCTGTCCTTCCTCCTGCCCCTCTCAGGGAATCCTCCGCACAGGCCTGGAGGAGGTGAAGCAGTTCTTTGCCCTCAATGGCTCCTGCCGCCTGCCGCTCAGCCCCAGTCTGCTGGTTAAGGGCATTGTGCCCAGGGTGAGTGACCAGTGGGCTTGGGGCTCTCGGAATGGGGAGGGCTCCGTGGAGGCACGGTTGTCGCTGACTTGGTTACTGAGAGAGATGAGGAAGAAAGGCATATTTGGGGCCTCTCCCCAAACCTAATGTGTAGGGCCTTTTGCCCAACAGCTGTGCAGGGTGGAGGAACTGGGTCGGGGCTGGATGAGTGTCTCATGATGCCGTTGGGTTGAAGCCGGGCTGGGGAAGCTGTTGTCTAGTATTTATGAGCACTGTCTGCACCTGGCGCCACGCTGAGTGCTTCGTGCTGGTTACTGCATTTCATCCTCACAACTCTTACGACCTCACTACTGTTGGGAGCCCCATTTCACAGAGGAGTAAACTGAGGTATAGGACACACGACTTACCAGAAATCACACAACTGGTAAGTTGTGTGCAGAATGAACTGAAGGGATGAGATGTCACGTGCTGGAGCTGAGGTCGTAGCAAACTGAACAGGGTGATGGCAGTAGGGAGGGAAAAAAGGAATAAGGCCTCCCGAGAAAATCTAGAAGAAACTGTGAGCAGGTGGACCAGCAGCAGCTTGACCCAAGGTAGACAGGCCGTTTTCCTCCCTGGGCGTGGACCACCCTGACCGTCGTCAATCTCCTCTCTACTATGGCAGGACTGTTCCTACTTCAACTCCAATGCAGTCCCCCTCAAGCTCTCCTTCCAGAATGTGGATCCACTGGGTGAGAGCATCCGAGTCATCTTCAAGGTGAGGACACTTCCCTCAAGCCTGGTGGGATGGAGGAGGGAGCCCAAGCGTGGCAGAGACAGCCCCAGGCCAGTTCTCTTCTTGCTATTCCATGCTGATATTTTAATATATGAAAGACCATATGGTGAAAAAGGAAATAGGCTAATTCTGCATGGCTTCAGAGGTTCGGATGTGTAGGGAGGCAACTGGCAGCTCAATATAGAGAAGCGTTTTCTAAGAAGCAGAGCCACCCCAACGATGGAATGGGTAATGTGGTGATCTGTGGGTCCCTGAGGGTATTCAAGCAGAGGCTGAATGACTGGCAGCGATGTCCAAGAGGAAATGAATGTATCAGGTGCACGTTGGACTAGTTGAACCGTAAGGCCCTCTAACAGATACATCCATGCTCCTGAGACACGAATGATAGCCTCAGGACATGTAAGCTAGTGGGGGAGATGAAATGCAAATACATGATTTAGTAACTTATTTTTTATATATATTTGCTGTGTGTAAGTTCTGAATCCAAGGTATAAACATTCAAGTTTTCAGAGGGCTTGATGGTCGGTCAGGAGGGCTGCATAAAGCAGGGGAACCTGACTTCAGAGCCGATGAGGATGTAGGGTTGGGGAAGAGCCAGAATGCTGCATGGCCCACCTCTGGTGGTTTGACTTCGTGGGAGCTGAGTGGGCAGGGCAGAGGTGGAGAACTGGGCAGTCCCTCCGTGTCACTGTAGTTTGGACCCTCCTGGGAGATCTGGGAGGACTCGGGAGCCAGGAGAGGCGATGGAGATGGTTCTGGTCACACTCTTCCTCCCTGCAGTGTGGAGATGACCTTCGCCAGGACATGCTCACCCTGCAGATGATTCGCATCATGAGTAAGATCTGGGTCCAGGAGGGGCTGGACATGCGCATGGTGATTTTCCGCTGCTTCTCCACTGGCAGGGGGAGAGGTCAGTTGGCAGTGGGTGGGGCTGTGAGTGGGCGGGGGGTGGGGCATTGTCCTTTTGCCCATTCCCAGGATGAACTGTGTACTTCTCCATAAACATGGATAGGGTAAGATGATTTTATTAGAAGCAGTGGAGTGGCAATAAAACAAAACAACCAAACAAACATATTATATGGACTTTGGACCCTGATTCAACCAAAACAATTGTAAAAAGATACATTTTGAGGGGCAGCCGGTTAGCTCAGTTGGTTAGAGCACAGTGCTCATAACACCAAGGTTGCCGGTTCGATTCCTCACATGGGCCACTGAGATGCGCCCTCCACAACTAGATTGAAACAACTACTTGATTTGAAACTGATGGGTCCTGGAAAAACACACTGTTCCCCAGTTACAATATATATATATATATATATATATATATATATATATATATATATATATATTTCGAGGCAATTGGGGAACAGATGAATATAAACTGGGTTGGATCACATGAGATTAAAGAATGATTGTTCATTTTTTGGACGTGACAATGGCATGGTGGTTATGTCCTTGTTAGTTGTACTTGAAATATTTATGACTGAAATGACATGTGTGGGATTTGCTTTGAATTACTCCAGCCAGGAGGGAAAAGCAATGTTGGGTGAGTGAAACAGATGAAACAAGATTAGCAAAGTGTTGATAATTTTTGAAACTGGGCAATGGTTATATGTGAGTTCATGATCTGTTTCTTAATTCTTATATGTATTTAAAAAAACCCAGAGTAAAAGTTAAAAGCAAAAAAGGAACAGCAGCTCTGAATAGGAGAGACGAGAGCCATAGCGTGGAATGTGAGACCTGGGGAATGAAGGCCTTTCTACCATTACCCGCCCCCCCTTATTATCAGACTTGGTCCGTATGCTCTAGAATGGAATTTACAGAGAAGCCTCTAGCACAGTGCTTGGAGTCCTTTCCCAGAAGTCCCTTCTCTCTGCTTTGGAGAGTGACCAGTGCCTCCTTCACAGGGATGGTGGAGATGATCCCCAACGCCGAGACGCTGCGCAAGATCCAGGTGGAGCACGGCGTGACCGGTTCCTTCAAGGACCGGCCCCTGGCTGACTGGCTGCAGAAACACAACCCTGGGGAGGATGAGTACGAGAAGGTAGGCCTGCGGCGGGGGTGGGTGTGCCTGATTCTGGCACATTGCCGAGTTACCACGAGGCCTGCACGTGCTCAGAGAAGACAGCTCAGCTGTGTTGTGGGGAAACACACTTTCTTGGCTGACTGGTGTCTCCAGATGTCTAGGGTGGGTCGAATGACTGGTTAGCTGACAGCAAATCCCCTTGTATCCAACTGGGAAACCTTCACTGAGTTCCCCTGGCAGACTGAATTTTGGAGGAGAGGGGCCAGCTTTTGAGAACCTGCCTGTATCTCTCCGAATCGTGGACCCTGTTCAGTTCTCCTGTGCCCTCCGAGGTTCCGTAGTACTTTGTAGAACAAAAGTTAGTTGGAAGAGACTTTAGAGATCATTTTAATCCAACCCTCTTTTCATATATGTGAATTAAGATTTCACTCAGTTGTTCCTAGTTGTGGAGCTTCTTTGTGGCAAGGCTATAACTGGAAGCCAGGATTGAGGTTAGATAGGCGATTGACCTGTTCCTCAGGTGGAGCTTTGCTGGCTAGTAGGGCCTTGGTGGACTGCTGTGGTTCACGGCTGGTCCACAGTTTCACGGCTCTAGCCTCTGGTTAACTAAGTTTAGGGGAGGGAACAAGTCACAATAACCAAACTCATAAGAGACTGACTCTAAGACAGAATGCTAATTTATATCATTTAACTTCCAGGGGGATCCAAATGCTAATTTATATTGATCAATGCACTTGATCCCTGCGGGAATACCTACATGGATAAATTATAATGTTGTTTAGTGACCATCTGATTAGATGATCTTAAATGACCTTAAACGTTGACGTTCCTCAGGGCATAATTCCTGACCTGCTGTACTCTCTTTGCATTCTTCTTGTGCCAGCTCACCGTCACTTTTTACTTTAACTACCACCCATATGCTGATGCCTTTCCAAGCCCTTCCCCGTTCCCTTCCTTGAGCTGCACACTCTGCAGCCACCTGCTTACTGGACATCTCATTTGTGTTTCACCCAAACCTTAAACTCGGTATAGGCAAACCCCAGCTTTCTGTCTCCTGCTTTTGAAACCTGCTTTTTGTGTGTTTCCTCTCGTATATGGTGTGACTCTCACCCAAGCCAGAGCCATGGGCCTCCTGCTGCTGTCTCTGCCTCACCGCTCCTGTACCAAGCCTGCCGAGTCTTCTTCCCACATAGCTCCCAATCCTGTCCTCTTCTTTCCATTTCTTTCTGCACTTTGCTGTCAGTTCCCTGAACCACTGGCTTGCCTCTCCTCCTTTCATTACTATTCTCTACTTGATTTTAGAGGGTTGGTTTTTTTTTTTATTTTATAAAATGCAAACCTGCTTGTGCCACTCCTTTGCTCTCAGTTCTTCAAAGTCTCCCATGTCCTCCAAGTCCACCATCCATAGCACTGCCTGCAAAGCCTTTTGTAATCCAGCAGTGCCCACCCCCGTAGTCTCTCCCCCGCACCTCCCCATCTTATGATAGCTTATGCTCTAGCTTAGGGGACTACTTGCATTTCCTTAATACCTTTAGAGGATAGTGATCTCTTCCACATCCCTCAGTACCCACCCCTTCTATGTTCCTCTCCCCTTGGAGAAGAGTAACATGGCGTCTTTTCTCCCTCCCACCTACCTGTATACTATTTCTACTAACATGTGTTTTTCAAGTGTTAAGCAGCCACTATGTACTGTGCTGGAACAATGGCTATTTCAATGTAATAAAGAGTCATAATAAATATGACAGAAGGATGTACAACAAGAATACACACACAGAAAACTAACTCTCTATCTTAATGTTTAATGTCAAGTGTTTAAAAACCAGCTTCTCAGACCTTCTAGCCTTTCTGCTAAAATAACACTGGTAGTGTCTTATGATGACTTCCAGTGTGAAAGAACTAGACATTTGGCTCTTGGCCATTTATTCAGCAAAAGAGAGTTCCCCACATCTTACAAGTGAAACCCCTTAAATCAGGAGAGCGCCCCTTGTTTGGTGAGACTCCCTGCCAGTAAGCAGCTAACACCCTGCATAACTTAGGTGATGGGACTTCAGTTATTTGCCCATGGCCACACAGCTGTTTGGTGAGTCAAAATAGGATGCATTTCAGGTAGGAAGAATATCTGAGACAGGAAGGCATGTGGATGAAGGTGAAGGTCAAGATGCAGTTGATGTGTTCTACTCCTTATGGAGTGGTTTCCTTTCATTCATATAGTTCCCTTGCATAGAAATAGTCTTTCTTCCAGAAGGTGCATTCTATAATTTCTTTACAAACTTTCTATTCTTAGTTTCCTATGGATTAGTCATCTGGTTTGACAAGTATGTGGGAAGTTGCTGTGTGTAGCTCGTTTTGAAACAGGCCTTGTGGAACAGACAGGCCGCTGCTGGGAGACGAGATCCTTAGACCCTGGGGGAGCGAAAAGACAGCCCTGAGCAAATGGTGACAGCAGTGGCGCCGTGGGGGCTCAGTGGGGGAGGAGTCAGTGTGAGCTGGGGAGGCCTGGGAAAGGTGTGGGACTCAAGGAAGGTCCATGAAGGATGGGTGGAAATTTGCAGAGGGAGGTAGGGAGGGCACGCGTTCTCTATCTGGGAAGCTTTCTCCCTTCCCCAACTTTGTACATTCCTGGTTGGCTGTGACAGTTGTTGCCCTCTGCTGAGTAGCCTTTCTGGAATTCTTGGGAATTCTATAAACCTCACAAAGTGGATTTAGAGGGTAAAAGGTGTCCATTTGCTTATTCCATGTATTTTTACTTCCTGGAAAGATAGATAAGGGAATAGGCTTTGACCAGATAAAATAAGGTGGATCCAATCCCTTCCCCCTTCACCTTCTGCTTTAAAATAGAAAATGTCGGGCCGGCCGAGTGGCGCAATGGTTAAGAACTGGCTTGGGATGCCAGAGGGCCCCGGTTCGGATCCCACATATGAGGGCCATTGACACTGCCCTCTTCAGCTAAGATGCTGAACAACAGCTCAACCTGGAGCTGGGCTGCCGTGGGCTGCCGTGAGTTGCCGGCGACGGCGTAGGCTGCAGCCCCTGTGGCAGTGGGTTGCCATGAGCTACTGTGTGTAGTCAGCAGCCAGCGCGAGCGGCCAGCAGCCGCAGTGAGCGGCCAGCAGCCGCAGTGAGCGGCCGTCCAGAAGCCGGCGACTGATGTGCCTCGCCCGGGAAGCGCACAATGATGGTGCCAACTTGGGCCAGTGAAGCAACGTCCTCCACAACTAGACTGAAGAACAAAAACGACAGCAATTTGTCTGTTCCCCTTCCCCCAATTCCCCAGCACTGTTCCCTTCCTCCTAATACCCCAATAAAAATCTTTAAAAAAAAAAAATAGAAAATGTCTCTAACACATTTTACCAACTAGAGCTGCCTGATTTTCAAGTGTAAAAAACCCCTAGCAGTGTGAAGTTGCCTCAGCTCTTCCTCAGAGTGAAGTGACTTTAATAAGATTAGCATTTAGCTGTTACTAAGAACACTGGGAAGGGGAGTTGTATTTGGGGAAGGGAGAAGGAAGAACGAATCCTGAGCAGGGTCAGGAAGGGACCCTTAAGTCGTCTGCCTCAGTGTGTGCTTGAGTTGAGACTGCCACAACCAGTTGGGAAAGTTGTAAACGTCAGTCTTCCCATCTATTAAGGTCTCTTCGGTCTGGGCTGGTCAAGTCTGGGCTCTGGATCGTTTGTCTTTCCAACCATGCTCCCTGGGAGAAAGAAAGGTACAGAGGAGGATGACTTTCAGATAAAGTGGTAGAGCTATATGTGGAAGCCTTCCATCTTCTCGGGCTCCATAAGATACAAGAGACATTCCTGTGTGCATCAGTGTGTACGTTAGTACATGATAAAGGCTGAACGGGCAGATGTGAGGTGCTGTTGGGACTCATGAGAGAGGCCAGAGCTGGTGGGATTCAGTCTGGCTGTGGCCCCTGGAGTCCTTGTAAGCCAGCTTTATGTCCTCTCTTCCTTTCTGTTTTCCACCGCTCCCAGGCTGTGGAGAACTTCATATATTCCTGTGCTGGCTGCTGCGTGGCCACTTATGTCTTAGGCATCTGCGACCGACACAACGACAACATCATGCTGAAGACAACCGGCCACATGTTCCACATAGATTTTGGCCGCTTCCTGGGCCACGCCCAGATGTTTGGCAATATCAAGCGGTAAGTGGTCCTAAGTGGTCTCCTGAAGCCAGGATATGTGTGTCGGTCAGGGGGTGGTCAGCAGAAATGGCTCAGAGCTGGGACACGAGCCCGTGATGGAAGGGGCCGCACTTCAGAGCATGGTCCCCAGGCTGAGCAGCTTTGGAGAAGAGAAGACTGATAAAGAGATCAAATACTTGCAGGGTCTTGCAGAAGAAAGCAGGGACCAGCTGTTCTCCCCCTGCTGAGGACTGAGCGAAGGGAAATGAGCCCAGACCGCAGCACAGGGAATACAATTACATATTCAGGAAAAAATCTTGCTAGCTCACAGACAAGGAACCAATGAGGGATGTCTTGGGGACCTTTTAGGATTAAGGTAGGAAAAGAAAAAGAAAAAAGAGACAGCCCCATCTATCCAGGTTCACACAGGTGATGAAGGGTGAGGGGAATTACCGTCCCCTGATATAGCCCCCAAGGTATTGACCTTCTGCCTGTATGTTCCCCTTGGCTCAGGGACCGTGCCCCCTTTGTCTTCACCTCGGACATGGCGTATGTCATCAACGGGGGTGACAAGCCTTCCAGCCGCTTCCATGATTTTGTTGACCTTTGCTGCCAAGCCTACAACCTCATTCGCAAGCACACCCACCTCTTCCTCAACCTTCTGGGCCTGGTGAGGAGCACCATCCCTTTCTGAACCCTCCCTTCTTATCATCTGGCACCATCTTTCAGACTCCCCTGTCTTGTTTCAAAGGAGTCCCGGAGACCTACCTCTCTGAGCTCTAGATAAAGACAGGGCCTAGAATCCTGGGGACAGTGGTGTCTGTGCAGGTGTGTGACTTCCTGCTCCAGCCCCTCCGTTCCTGGGGCCCTCCAGCCACTGCCCACAGCCTCTGTTTACCACCCTCTAGGAAGGTTAGGGCACCTCGTTGTAGAAAAGCTTGCCTTCTGGTGGGAAGAAGCAAGAATTCCTGGTTGTTACAGGTGCCTCTCTCCTTTGCTCTCCTAGATGTTGTCCTGTGGGATCCCTGAGCTCTCAGACCTGGAAGACCTCAAGTATGTGTATGATGCCCTGAGGCCTCAGGACACAGAGGCCAATGCCACTACCTACTTTACTAGGTAACACCCTGCGCACAAAATGTGCTATCCACACTGAGTAATTCATTTCCAGGCTGCCTGCTGGGGAGGAGCGGGGCTAGGGAAATGGGAAAGGCTTATTAATAACTCAGGTGGCAGAGCCGAGAGGTGACAATGTGGGTCTACTGTCCCAACTTTGCCTCTGACTTAGGTAAATCACTTCACTTCTCTCAGACTCAGTTCCCGTCGGCTCTTTGGTTCTAACCTTTGTTTATAGAGGTGTTGCAGTCTGTTCTTGCTTGCATTCTCACCAGGTCTTGGTCAAAGACTTTGTTTATGGGGAAAATATGGTTTTTAGTAGTTTTCAGTTCTCTGGATCAGAACCTTCCTTCCACCTCATCAAGATGTGAATTCCACAGTTCCATTTTCCCATATTTGACGTTTTTAGGCACACTGTTTATAAAAGCAGGGTGGTGTCTATATAGTAATGTCTATAGTTTTTATCTGTGTAGATGTCTCCTTTTTATTGTGTGCTCTTTTTGGAACTTTGTGAGCTAAATTTTTTCTGTGGGTCTATCACAGAACCTTTCCTTTCGAACTGAAATCTATAGATTGAAGGTGCTTGGTGAAGTTACTTGCTACTGAACTTTCAAATTCAGTTTAACAATATTCAGATATTTACATGGTGACCCTAGGTGGAATCCCTAATTCCTTCCTACCCTGGTTTCACTGTCTTTGGCTTAGAAGGGCAGCAAGGAGAGATAGGACTCCCAGCTTCGCATGAATAAATTGCATGTGGATAATTATGTGCTAGTCATGTGCGCTATGAGGATATTGCACAGGGAAAATTGTTTGATCTGAGCTAAGTGTTAGTCGCAGGTGTCAGGGGCTATTCCTTGAGATAGCTCTGTCTAGGCAGTGGGGACTTGGGTCTGTGGTGACAGCCTTCTCTTTTCATCCTCTTGTACCAACAGGTTGATTGAGTCCAGCCTGGGCAGTGTAGCCACAAAGCTCAATTTTTTCATCCATAACCTGGCTCAGATGAAGTTCACGGGCTCAGATGACCGGTTGACCCTGTCCTTTGCCCCCCGCACATACACTCTCCAGCGCTCTGGCCGCCTTAGTGATGTCTTTGTCTGCCGCCAGGAGAAGGTTTTCCATCCCAACAAGGCCTACGTAAGCGTCTTCTCCAATCTGACCCGCTCTTGCTCCTTGGTGCCCCCAGCTTATGGGGTGCTGTTTCTTCACATCCGCACAGTGGGCACTGGAGCGGACTGAGCATCCCGTGCTGGGAACAGTCACAAACCACTTCCCGCTCCCTTGCCCAAGTGGCCTGCCTGGAATCAGGGAGCTGAATTGGATGGTTACTCCGAGTCAAGGGTCTTGCGAAACATGTGCAGGAAATCTTTGCTTTGGATTCCTGCATATGTATATATGCATATCATCTGCCTCTCCATTGGAGATACTTTTGCCCCCCTCCTTCTGGAAAGTGTAACCCCACACAACACACACACACACACACACACACACACACACACTTCGGTTTTCTTACCTACTCCCTTCATTGGGTGCGGAGGGCTTGGCAGGTATTCTCTAAGACTTGAACTTTTGCAGATTTATGTGGTAAAGGTGATGCGAGAGAATGCACACGAGGCCACTTATATCCAGCGGACGTTTGAGGAATTCCAGGAGCTGCACAATAAGCTGCGACTGCTCTTCCCTTCTTCCCTCTTGCCCAGGTAGCTGCCCCCTTTACTCTCTGCCAGAGGGATACTGGGGAGGGAGAATAGACGGGGTGTGGGCAGGACTGCAGGAGTGAGAAACTATCCTTTTAGAGTCAAGATCAACAGTAGGCACTTGGTTTTTTCTTGGCGTGGTGATGAGTTTGATAACAAGTGCTCCCCCTGCTGGCCAAGCTCTCCTGACGCTCTCAAGAAGTTTCACTCTA